CCTATCATTTCTCTTGCAGATACCGCTGTGAGGTTCAGTGGTCAGAGCTATGTGCACTATCGGCTCCCAGAAGCACATAACTGGCACATTCATTTCCGCCTGAAGACACTGCAGCCACATGCAATCGTCCTGGTTACCAACGCGACCGTGTCCATCTCCCTGAGGGTAAGGCTTTTCTTGCCTGTATGACTTGATGTAGCAATAAGTTCCTAGTGTTGCTGTAACAGAAATTCCAGAGGAAAGTGGCTTTAAAGAATAGTTCCCCCCCCCCCCACACACACACACTTCAAGTAGTTGGAAGTCCAGATTCAGGGCCCTACAGAAAGGGAACTCTGATGGCATCATCTCTAGACAGCCTTAAAAACCCAACAGAGGGTCAGCGATGAGTTTCAACTTGACAACAATGAGGTTGTTTTGGGTTTGTTTTTTTTCTTTTCTTTATTTGTTTGAAACCTATTGGGGAAGGATCCCTTTCTCTGTTGGAAAAGATCCCTGTCTATTCCAGCAATCCTTGGTTCCTTAGAGATTGTCACATGTTATCCTGTTTCCCTCCTCCCCCCATTTGTGCTTATTTTTACATATAATCTGTTCATTTTCTAACTCAAAAGTGATTAGATTTTAGAACACACCTTACACTGGTAATTGGCCTCATTAGCAAAACAAAGAAAACCCTGTTCACAAAAGTAATCCAGAGGCATAGAGATTAGGATTCTGATACATATTCTGGTGGGCTTTGTTTTTGTCAGGTGGTGTTGAATCGAGTATGATGCATAGCAACCCTACGAACCGCAGATCTGAGCCCTCCCCTATTCTGTGCCTTCCTCATCATATTTGATATATTTGAGCCCATTCTTTTAGTCCCTGTGTCTGTCCACCTTGTTAAGGGTCTTCCTCTCTTTTGCTGACCCTCAAGCTCAGATGTAAGTTTTCAAGGTCTGACCCTTTTTAACAATATGCCCAAAGTATGTGAAATGAAGCCTCACTATCTTTTCCTCCAAGAAGCACTCCGGTTGCATTTTCTCCAAGATATATTTGTTTGTTCTCTTGACAATCCATGATTTAGTACTCTTCTCCAACACTGAAACTCAAGGACATAAATTCTTCTTGTCTTTTTAAATAATTGTCCAACTTTCTGATGGATAGCCCATAACAGAAAAAAACATGGCTTGAGTAAATTGCATCTTAGTCCTTAAACTGGCATCATTTCTCTTAGCACGTTGGAGAAGTCCTTGACAGCAGAATTGTCCTGTGCAACACATTTTCTGATTTCTTGTGTGGAGGTACCAAAGCTGTTGATTGTGGATCCAAGTAAGGCAACTTCAATCTTTTCTCCATCTACCTTGAGTAGCCTATTGACCCAGTGGTGAGGATTTTTATTGTTGAGGGTTGAGATGTAATCCATGTTGAAGGCTGTGAAGTCTTTGGTTTTCTGCAGCAAGTATCCAAGTTCTCTTCACTTTCAGCAAGAAAGATTGTGTCATCTGCATAAAGAAAGTTGTTGATGAGGCTCCTTCTGATCCTGATGCCACAATACTCTTCATAAAGCTCAAAAGATTTCCAAATGATTTTCTCAGCATACAGATTGAAAAAGTATGGAGAAAGCACACAGCCCTGACTCACACTTCTCTTGATTTTAAACCATGCAAGGCTCCCTTGTTCTATTCACCCAACAGCTTCTTGGTCTAGATTTTGCATAAGCATAATTAAGTGTCCTAGAATTTCTCTTCTTCTAAATGTTAGTAATGATTTGTTATGATCCACACAGTCAATTACCTGTGCAAAGTCAATAAAACACAAAATGACACTCTTCAGTATTCTTTGCTTTCAGCTAGGATCCATATGACATCAGCAATGGTATCCCTTGTGCCACTTCTAAGTCCACCTTGAACTTCTGGCAATTCCCTGTTGATGTACTGTAATAGCTATTTTTGCATAATCTTCAGCAATATTTTACTTACATGTGATATTAATGATATTATTTCATAGCTTCCACATTCTGTTGAATCACCTTTCTTAGAAATAGGAACAAATACAGATCTCTTCAAGTAAGTTAACCTGATACATGTATTTCAAATTTCTTGGTACAGACTCGTGAGCATGTCCAGGGCTGCATCTATTTGTTGAAATATGTCAGTCGATATCTCATTGGTTCCTGGGGCTTTATTTTTATTTTTTTTTCCCAATGCCTTCAGTGCAGCTTGAAGATATTCTGTCATTACCATTTGTTGTTGTTGTTCATAATATGAAATGGGTCTAAGTCAGCCAATTCTTTTTGGTATAATGACTATAAAAAGAGCAAAGGCCCCATGGGGATGGCCATGTCTGACCTTTATCAGTTTCACAAAGGGGAACTATCTCCATCCACAGCATTAATAACACAAAACCAGTTCCCACGAGGTCAGACATGTCCACTACACTCCTATAGCTCTTTCTACTCATCTCAACACCAATCTTATTTCTTTGCTTGGTCCAAAATCCAATGCAATAGCTCACAGACCACACAGAACCATACTGGGGAAGTGAAAAGGTTATAATCCCGATTAATAACAGAGTACAGTCAAGACAGCTCCCGAGATATGCACATAGGCACCTCAGGCTTATGCTTTCAGGCCAATGGTTCCAAATTTCTCAGTCCTGCCAGTACTGGCTCCTCCCCCACAAATGTCCAACAAAATTCTCAGTCCTGCCAATATTGGTTTCTTTCCTCCAACTGTGTAACAAAGTTCTCAGTCCTGCCATTATAAGCTCTTAACCTTCCCCAATACCTGCAAAGTCTCATCTCCTATCAGGTCTCCAGTTCTGCTGTAGATATTGCTGCCTTAGGAGTAGCTGGAGAAGGAAGGGCATCCTACCTTGTCTTGCTTTCTCTTCAATGTTGCCAGAAAAATCTGCCCGTCTCTCACTCTGACTTGCTCAACTCAATAGCAAGACTAGCCAATCTCCTCATAAAATGTTGAGGGTGGCCAAACCTCTTGTGGAATGGTAGATAGCCAATGCCCTATTTGCATATTACTGCCCATCTGCATAGCATCCTCTCCTCTTAATACAATAATTACTTCAGCATAAAACAGTTAATCTTTGGCTTGGAAAGACAATTTTGAATGATAAACCTTAGACATCCAGAGTGACTCGGTGTATTCCTTCCATTCTAGATGGACATAATTCAATCCTAAAAGGAGTTGAGGGTCTAGGGGGCAGTTCGGTAGACCAATTTCTGGCAAAGAAACAACTGCATGCCTTTATGGTGTGTTGAGTATGATTATGGGGCCAAGGCACAGGATTTTCCCTGTGCCAGATCACCACAGCCATACTACCTGGAGGTACACATTCAGTGGATAACCAGAGATCTGGCTGCTCTGTGACATGAAAGATTCTCTGAAGATAAAAATAGAGGTGGAAGAGGCCACTCCACCCTGAGCTTTTTCTAGTTTTGCTGAATTTGCCTAGTATTTCTCAGAGTGTAGCAGGCTGGCTACCACTGGGTGCTAGGGAAGGAAGCTTCAGCATCAAGTAACACGGAATATGAAGTGATTTCCTTTCAATGGTTTCTCAATTCTTCTAGTTGTCATATAGAGAGTGTTGTTTTTCTTGACTGTTTTTAAGACTTTTATCATATGTACCTAGGAGCCCTGATTACAAACCAAAAGATCTGTTGTTTAAAACCTCTGACTGCTCTTTGGAAGAAAGATATGACTGCTTCTGTAGAGATTATGACCTTGGAAACCAGGGTAGTTCAACTCTATCTTACAAGGTTGCTAAGAGCTGGAATCAACTCAGTGTTTGTTTGGGGCTTTTGTTTTTGCTTTATCTTACATGTCAATTTCTGATTTCGGTAAAAAGAAAGTATATTTTGGCAACTAGTTAGACTTTAACTCCTTTAGCAAATATTTATTGAGCATTTACTGTGTAAATTTATTGAGCATTTACTGCTATAGGTGCTTGGATCTCATAATAGAAACATAAAAAACCCCAATCTACTGCTGTCACTGATTCTAAATTAGCTGTTCTACAGAGTAGAGCAGAACGTCACCATAGGGTTTCCCAGCTGGTAGTCTTTTCAGAAGCTGACTGCATCATCTCTCCCCTGGCTCATGGGTTCAAATTTCTGACTGTTCAGTTAATAATGAAATGTGTAATTACTGTGCCACCAGGGTCCCTCTCGTTAGTAAACAACACAAAAACCCTTCTTTGAGTTTTCATTAGACAGGGTGTATACAATGACAACAAAGACAAATGTAGTAAACCAGAAATTCACTGCTTTGTTTAAAATGTGGGCTTTCTTTGCAGTTGCTTGGTGGAGTGCTTCACCTGGAATATCGATGCCCAGGCGGTTTCCTTGGAAATCTTTCCTCACAGCGCCATGTGAATGATGGCAAGTGGCATCCAGTCCTGTTGGAGAAGACTGCCACCTCCGCTGGCCTGCGGGTTGATGGTGCAGGAAACAGCTCCCTTGTGCTCCCAGAGAACTGTCGTGGACTGGGGCTTAAAAGAGACCTCTTCCTGGGTGGCTTTGTCCTCTCGCATTCTTCCCAAAATGTCTCTCAAGGCTTTGAAGGTTGCTTGGATGCGGTTACAGTTAACAGAGAGGCACTGGAGCTGCTGGTCCATGGCAGGAAGGTGGCCCACTTGTTGGAGAAGCAGGCCCTCACACAGTGCTGCCCCCTCACTGATGGCTGCAGCTGGGATTTGTGCCTCAAAGGTGGGAATTGTTCCCAGACTCGTGGAGCAGGTAAGAGCTGGAGGAAAGGGCAGGGCTTGCAAACCCCAAAATTTATCCCAAAGATACCTCAGAAGACTCTGAAGAGTTGACTCAGCAACCCTCAAAAGCCTTTCCTTTTCTCAGGCCCCATGAGGGCAAATGAGAGGACAACCAGAAAGTTCCATTTTACAGTCCACAAAACTGGTGGGCTATGGAAGAGAAGTCCAGAGAGGGCAAGGGATTTGCATAAAGTCATATGCTTTTAAGGGAGAGAGAAGATTATTCTTGGTGGAGGCTGTAGTGAAGAACTCCTTCCACCTGACTCCAAAACCTCTCTCTCTCTCTCTCACCATTTTGGCAGCAGGATACAATTGATCAATCAGAACAGCTTCTGAAATGTGCTCGCAGACACCTCAGCCTTCAGCCTTACAGCTTTAGGCCAATGTTATAAAGCTCACCAACCTGCCAATTACGGCATCTCCCTCCAAGCCCTCCAACAAACTTGGACGGAGACTTCAAGCTCTGGTTCCATGAGGTAGCACTACCAAGGTCAGCTCTGTTTCATGCCAGGTCTCTGGTTTTCTACTGTGTCTGCTGCTCCTGTAGGTCCTGGTCTTAGTGACCCAGCAATATATGGCCCCGAAGGTTGTGCACTTTGCATTTTCTGCTTCTTCTTTTGGATAGTATTCTTTATCACAGGGATTTTCACTTTTTGTTAACCTGGTGGTGCCTCACATTGCACTGCTGACTGAAAGGTTGAAGTTGGAGTCCTCCTCATGGTGCTTCTTGGGAGAAAGTCCTGATGCTTTGCTTCTGTAAAGATTAAGTCAAACCAAACCCATTGCCATTGAGTTAATTCTTACAGCAACCTTAGAGCAACAATAGAAAATGCTATAGGACAGTTTTACTATGTTACATGAAATAGATGTTAGTTTAGATCCACTCATTGGCAGCTACCAATAAGAAAAGGCATATAATACTTTATACTTTCACTCAACAACGTATTTTTAAGGTGCATCCATGTTACTATGAATGTATCTCACTCATTGCTTTTACTATCAGTGTTCCATGCTGCCCTTGCACCCACATTTACCCCCTTCCATCCTCCTAGTGAAGAAGGATGGACACCCGGGGCTTCAACTCATACCTCTACCATCATTGTTGCAGTGAACCTCATCCATGTCCTCTCTGATCCTGAGCCACTATTTCCCTCTCTCTCTCTCTCTCGCTCGCTCGCTTGCTCGCTCTCTCTCTCTCTCTCTCTCTCACACACACACACACACACACATCTACACCCAGATAGTCACAAAGTTAATTTTACTAAATAAAGCTAAACTGCTCTCCAACATGGCCACACCACTCTACACTCCCACAAGCAATGTATGGGTTCCTATGTACTCATATGCCTGTCGATGCTTGTCATTACCTGATTTTCTAGTTTTTCTAGGCTTATCAGCTGGTTCTCTGTACCTCCAGAATATCCATGGTGTCCATCATTTCTCTCTTCTCCCTCACCCACCTCTCTTATCTAAGCCCCATCATCACCTATCTTGTCTCGTATATTCATTATTGCCCTGTTCTTCCCCAGCACCGCTCTCTCTATTCCACCAGGGAGCCAGAGTGGTTTATAAAATGCATATTTGAGCATGCTGCTCTTCTGTTTAGAACCTCTCAGTGTGCATGCTGTGTCCCCACCTCCCTACTTTATAGTTTCCCACTCGCTCCTTCACTCTCTCTCCTGGCCTCTCTTTAGTGCTTGAGCATGCCATAATTTCTCCTCTCAGACTTAGCACACAGTTCTCCCCTGCCTGAAATCCCTTACTCTGTGTCCCTCCTTATTTTTGCCTAGCTAATCTGGTGGCCTCGTCCATAGTGGAAGTTGCTCTGTTACCTGAAAGGCAGCATCTCTCTGGTGCTTTGTATCCACCAAAGGCTCCGCAAGAAGAATATGGGCATCTCCCCCCGGGTGATTTACCACCTCAGAAACTCAGCTATGAATCATTTCTGACTCAATGGCAATGAGTTGTGTTGATAGAAGAGAGTGACTTAAAACATGTACTAACCCTGCCTCATTCAGATACATAGAAAACCATCTTCAAATAGGATTCTAACTACAGACATTGTAGTTAGGAGTTATGACACTTTGGAGAGGAGACACAATTTAATCCATAACAATACTCAGTGAGTGTTGTCTGTTACTGTTAGTCTTTTTTTTTTATTCCAGAAAAGTTTGTATTTGGGCCTTAAGCTTTTGAAAATAAAGTTTAGAGACATAGCATAGGAATACCACTGTAATACACATGAAATAGTCTATTAGACCCTAAAAATTAACATGAATTTAAACTTTCTCAGTCAACAAAATAGTGGCCGGGTGTCAGTTTTATTAGATAAGTTGGTTACAGCATTTTAATTATTTAAAATCTACCTAGGTATAGCTGAAATTCAAAATGCACATCAAAGTAAAACTATCGTCACAACTTGATGCCATACTAAATGTACTTGGCCTCTGCAGAATTCTAGTCAAACTTCATTTTCACTCCCTTCTTACCTGTTTTCTGGATTTTTAAACTGATTGAAGGCAGGGGTGGTGTCTACTCATTCAGTAGGTCACCAATACCTAACAAGGGATCAAGCGTAGAGGAGGCATTCAGTAAATAAATGGTTCTTAAATGGCCACATAACACAAATATGTACACACACTGAGGCACCCCTCACTTCAGGAGGGCCTTTTCCACTGGGGATGTCTGGGTGCTTGGTCACTGTGCTCTCTCACCTTCCTTTTCTTCCTCCCAGGCTATGTCTGTGAATGCCCCCCACAATTGTCTGGGAAGCAGTGTGGACAAGGAAAGGAGAATTGCACATCTACAATGTCCCCCGGAGGAACTGCCTGTAGCTGCCCTTACCCTTACACTGGAGACAGGTGAGCAAAGGAGAGGCCCTTCTTCCTAGAGGATGTGGCACCACACAGGAATTACCTGTACACATGCACTTGGAAGTAAGTGCAGGCCAGAAAATGGGAGTTCCAGTGACCTGGTCACCAAGTCTTTTCTCTGAGTAAAATATGCCTTCTCATTCAAGTCATACAAAGAACAGTCATCCAGCCCCCTGCATCAGAGACGGCACATGCTTTTTAAAGGCTAGATTCCTAAACCCTACTCAGAACCATTAAATCAGTCTTGCAGAGATGTTGTTGTTGTCATCGTTAGGTGCTGTGTGGAGTGAACCATAACTCATAATGACCCTATGGACAACAGATGGAAGCTTGCCCCAACCTGTTCTGTACTGACTATCTCTGCAACGCCCAAGCTCATTGTTATAGTCACTGTGTTAACTCACCTCACGGAGGGTCTTCCTCTCTTATATCCACTGTATAACATTCCCAGCATGACCTTTTCCCAAGAATTGGCTCCTCTGACAACATCCCCAGATAATGTGAGCTTCTCCACCTTTGCCCTAAGGGAGCACCCTGATTGTACTTCTTCCAAGTTGTTGTTGTTGTTGATAGTGTTAGATACTATCGAGCCAAGTAGGGCCCCTAGTGATCTTAGGAACAGCAGAGCTGAGTCCTGTCCTATTCTGTGTCCTCCTCACACTTCCTGACACTTAGAGCCCATTGCAGGAGTCACCATGTCAATCCACCTGGCCAAGTGTTTTCCTTTCCTTTTTGAGCGTCATGCGCCTCTCCGAGGAGTAGCCTGTCCTAGCAACATGACCAAAAGTATATGAAGTGAAGCCTCATCATCTTTGCCCCCAAAAGAACACTCTGGCTGCACCCTCTCCAAGACATATATGTTTGTTCTTTTGGCAGTTCACAGGATGTTCAGCATTTTTCTCTAACACCACAGCTCAAAAGCATCAATTCTTCTTCTGTCTTTTCTGAGAGAGATCATTTTATGCTTTTGACAGTTCATGGTCTATTAATTACTCTTCTCCAATACCACAATTCAAGGACATTCATTCTTCTTAGGTCTTCCTTATCTATTATCCAACTTCCAGGTGCATACAAAGCAATTGAAAACAGCAAGGCTTGGATCAGGTTCTCTTTAGTTTCTAAACTGACATCATTGACAGCAGATTTGCCAATATGTCTTTTGATTTCTTGCCCGTTGTTACCATGAGTGTTTATCGTGGATGCAAGTAAAATGAAAGAGTTGACAACTTCAGTCTTTTCTCCATCTATCATGATGTTGCCTCTTGGCCTCGTATGAGGATTTTTGTTTTCTTGATGTTGAGATGTAACTCATATTGAATTCTGTAGACTTTGATCTTCTGTAGAAGTGTTTCAAGTCCTCTTTACTTTGTGTAAGCAAGATTGTGTCATCTGCACAACACAGGGTGTTGATGAGTCTTCCTGCGAACTAATACCACATATTCATATAGTCTAGATTCTTGAACGATTTGCTCAGCATACTGATTGAGTAAGTATGAAGAAAGGATACAGCCCTGACTTACTCTTCTCTTGATTTTAAATCATGCAGGATCCCCTTGTTCTGTTGAGACAACTACTTCTTGGCATACTGGGTTTATGGGGTTGGGAGCCAGTGATTTGTATTTTTAGCCAGCTCCTTGGGAACTTCCTATATTTGCTGAAGACAGTTGCAGTTTTTGTTCTCTTTTTCTGTGCTGTCACTTCCCAAACAGTGGTCTGGAAACAAAGGTTTGCCTTGGCACAGACATTGCTGTGAATCTTGGACCCCCATTGCACCCTAACAGTGCATAGTGCTGTGCTGACTGGGAGGTTTGTAAGGGGAGGAATTTCATTTTTAAAAGCTTTCAAGTCAAGAAACCTTGGATATCACTCATTCTGTAACTTTCAAATGGAAAGTTAGAAAAAGAAATGACAAGAGAAAATTTTAGAAAAAAAATAAAATCGATTCTTGGGCCCTACTCAGACCAACTAAATAAAAATTTCCAAGAAAGGAGACCTGGGAATCTATCTTGAACAAGCTCCTTAGGATTTCACTGACATGTGCATAAGAGAGCTAGTGATCTGGCCTATATCACCATGTTGAATATGAGGGAAATGAGGCCAAGAGAGGGAAAAGGCCCATCCCACCTCAGCCTGTGTGAATGCATGTTCCAAGTCCTTCCAGCAGCTGCTATTTCCTGCCCCACTCCAGTTGTGTTTTGCAGTAGGGAGTGGTACCCACTAATTAGATGTCTTTAGAGATAATGCTACATGTCGAAAGTGATATTTGTATTTTAAGTAGAAGCTTGGAGAGGACAATATTTGATTTCAAAATGCAAATTGTTAGTGATCAAATATCTGGAAGCAGGAGATGTTTTGAACTGAGTAGAACAGGACTGTTCCCAAAATCTTTCAAAATCGGATAAAGGTGGCCGGGGAAGCTTTCCATAGTCATGGACAGCCAGGCAGAAAATGACCTGAGAAGTCATATGAATTTTTTCCTTGGAAAAGATACTCAATGTGAGGAAGCCACAAGCTCATGTTGGGTTCCTGGGCTCTCTTGATGAAGAAGAGAGGGACCATCAGTGCCAGTAGCTGTTGTTGGATGACTGCCTTTGATGTTATATGTCAAAAAGATGCTTCCCCTTCAGTAGCATGACTGGAAATCTGACACATTGCTGAAGAGTATGCTCCATGCCTACATTTCATTGGTGGGAAATAATGGATGTCCCTAGAGCCCAGATCTTACTGGTCAAGAAGATGAGGACAGCTGAAGTTCATGCCTTATTTTTAGAGAACAGAGCATGTCTTTCTGATGTTGATGTTACTCATGTGCTTAATAATTCACTTTTCTGTTGGAAAGTGGAAGATGGTAGGTCCCTTAGCTTTCTAATGTTTCAATAACAGAAATATTCCAAAAGGATGACTTTAACTAACTGGAATGGATTCTCTCACAGTGTAGGAGGCTGGAAGTACAAATTCAGGGTACCAGTTCCAGGAGAAATTTTCCTTTTTTTTGTCACACTGGGGAAGGTCCTTGTCATCAGTCCCACCCCAGGCCTACAGACCTGAGGTCCAAAAGATGGCTCTTGATTTTGGTGGTAGGAGATCTCTTTGATCTTTGCTTATCTGTTTACTCTCTTTTATATAGTGAAAGAGATTGACACAAAAGAGAACCTAATCCTATAAATGATGTCCTGCTTTATTAACATAATTGCCACTAATGCTGCCTCATTACCACCTTCAAAGTTAGGAGTTACAACATGTGGGATAATGACATCAGATCACAAAATGGAGGGTAATTATATAATACAGAGAATCACGGCCTCGTCAGGTTGATATATATTTTGTCTTTTGTTTCAGGAGTACAGTGTGTTCATTTTAGTTTTTAAGTTTTCCAACTGTTACAGTCAAGCTCAAAGCAGTAGAGAAAACATAAAATAGTGAAATAAGTGAATTGTTCTTCTGGTCAATAAAAGATAATTTTAGCAGATACTCCAATGTCTCTTCAATACTTGGTACTTGAATGATTAATTCTGTGCCACTACTACTTGGCTGTTGTCTAATTTACTTCCATCACTCCCTTCCCAGGACTAAGTCTCGGTCACTTTATAAACAGGAAGAAGGACTGCCTTGACACACATTTTTTGGGAAACAATTCAATCCACAACAGTAGACAAGAGGTTGGGGGGAGAGTCTCTAGCTTATAGATCTTTGCAAGAGAGACATGAATAAGCAATGCATTGACTCTAATCTCTTGGCTTCTTTTCTGTTTCTTCAGGTGTGAAATGGAGGCAAGAGGTTGCTCAAAAGGACGGTGCCTCGTTACTCCTGAGATTGAAAGAGGGGACTGGATGCTAACGATTATCACAGTGGTAGTGCCAGTCATCCTGTCCATCGGGGCCATTGTGGTGGTCTTGCTTTACTGCCATCGTTGCAAGTCTCACAAACCAGTAGCCATGGAGGACCCAGATATCCTGGCCAGGAGTGTTGGTGTTGACACTCAAGCCATGCCTCCTATTGAACTCAACCCCCTAAGCACCAGCTCCTGCAACAACTTGAACCAAGCAGAACCAAGCAAGGT